ATACTATAATATAATCATTACATGTCCTGTGCAGAAGGCAAATGACGAATGTCACACAAACTTCAAACAGACCAAAAGCAGAGAGCAAGTGACGGAAGCACTCAGCAGTTTTGTTGAGTCCAGTGCGCACATCATGGTGAGTGTGATCTTCCCTTAAACTTTAATTTTCTTCACCTGCTTCCTTCTCTTTGGTCATTCTTGTATATTAACTTTCAGTGGGGGTATCTGAGACAGTTGAAACAGCTGCGGCAGGTCTTGGAGGCATCCGACTTCTTCAGAACACACGAGGTTGGCTGTTGCACAGTGCACTAAAACACTCATGAGATAAGAAGTAGAAAATGTATGATTATGTTTTTGAGGCTGCTTTGGACAGGTGTAGGCTGGTGATACAGTGCATTTGTGATTTTTCTTCACACCCGTTTCCCTGCAGGTTGTGGGCAGCTCCCTGCTGTTTGTGCATGACTGGACAGGCAGAACAGGAGTCTGGATGATCGACTTTGGAAAGACAGTAGCCTTGCCTTCACCACTCACCTTGGACCACCGCACTGCCTGGGTAGAAGGCAATCGAGAAGATGGCTACCTGTGGGGACTGGACAACCTCATTGACATATTAGGAAACATGCTGCCGCTGTGCTAAAGGCCACTCTCAAAATGTGTGGAATTTTACACACAAACTTCCCTATAACACTTACAAATGAATTACTGTAGATGGGTTGGCTTCTGAAATGTTGTCAGAATTGTAGGAACAAAACGGTAATTAAAAAAAACAATTGAAGGTGAAATGCAAGATTTGTTTGATAGGTTACAATAACTCAGCCCCAAAAACAGTCTCAGTCTCGCAGGAGATGTCCGACTGGGCAATCTTGAGACGACATCCTCATTAGTTCGAGAAAAACATCAGGAATAGGCAATTATAAGCTAAAAAATATCTGTTGACATCAGAAATGTAACAATATCTCATTAAAATGTTGCCAAAACTATAAAGTTACGATGTGGACAGTTATTTTCTGCATTTAAAAAAAGTATACATTACATTTGCTGCTCAATTATCATCATTATTCAATCAATTTAAATACATCATATAGACCAGCTGTTTGTATCCTATTATTCGTCTTGATGGTTGGTGGCATTTGGTATGTATACTGTATATGTGTTGTTACTTGTACTTGTATCTTTGTGAGGGATATTTGAGGTGTAGACCTTACTGAGTTATTACATTTTGGGAAAGTTAGGACATTTTAGCCTCAAAGGGCTGTTTGACGGCAGAGAATTGCTTTTAGGATTACAATTAGGTTTAGTACAGGTCAGGGTTAAAACACAGAACCCTCGATGAGTGGTATGAGGTGCCATGGGTATTAAAAAACATTAAAAAATTCCTCATTAAACCATAATTGATTGGACAAAATCCCACCATGAAAATAAATAAATAAATAAATGAAGTAATTTAATAAGAGAAGGTTTAAAAGACCTCAGACACAGGGCTCTTCCCT